CCGCTCGTTGATGCTACAAATTGCAGCGGGGTTCTGGGCTAGTTCTGGAAGGGGTGTGGGGAGGGGGGAGTTCGGTTTGTGTTCGGTGGGGGGGCCGGTGCGCAAATCATCGTCGGAAGTCAGCTTCGTGTTCTGAAATGCGGAAGTCGACCAAAAACACCCCAGGGACTTTTATGCTAGGATTATCCAAAACATGTTTTTACTATCCTGCAAAAATAGAAAATAAAAGCTTCGGAGCTTCCTCTTTAGTTCCAGGAAGTGTAATTCTATAGGGTAGAGCATGTGCGTGCCCATGGCTTTGGCACACAACTACATTTGTTGAAGGTGAGGAGTTGGCTCGTGCAGAAATGGGTACCTCACTTCAGTGAAACCTTGCTTTTTGAAACGCAGTGTTTTCATGTCGTGCAAAACAAGTGTATGTTCCATCGATTCTTGTTCTTCGAACACAATTTGGCTGTCGCTTGGCAAGAAGATTTCGACTTATCAGCAAATGTTTTGGTGACCAATGGAGGGCGCAAGCAGAACAAGTCATACAAGTGCTTTTCTGAAGTCTGCGTCCTCAACCTGTTGTGTAGCCGATTGTGCTAGTTGCAGTACGAAGTCGAAGTCCCTGTTGGCTAGCCCACGGTAGGCTTGTAGCTTGAAGAGCCATTCTTCAACTGCCGTCGCCAGCGTTGGCCACTACCAACTCCCTAGAAACACAGCTACAAGTTAGTTGCTTTCAAGGAGTGCGCCAAGTTGTTGATGCTGCAGCTTCTGCGGCCAGGCAGATGGTCCACGCAACATGGCTGGGCGTCTCGTGAGACACGGGATCGAACGTCTTGGAGGTCTTGGGGTCGACGGGCGTCGTCCTTTGCCGCGAGCTCATCTTGCACCCACCCCGGTACCGCCCAGGAATTCGACGCCTGCTGCTCATTCTGCTGTGGGCCCCGCTGGTGTCCGCCGCGGCACCACCACGAGTTGGCGGCCCACTGCGCGCTCTCGCTTTTCAGATACTCCACCTCATCACCATCATCGCAATCAAGGACCTCCTGAAAGCATACGTATCTCTCAGGTGCCACTGTCTCTCCGGACCACCTTCAAAATTCGCTCATGGCATCCTCAGCGTCACTCTCCTTCTTGCACTCCGAAGCCATAGATTGATATGGAACTTCCGAACCGCAGCTGGAGCAGCGGCCTTTAGTTTTGCCTCGGCCTTGGGTTGTTCATTGTTGCTCTGCGCCGGAGCGAAGTCCTTCGGTGCCGGAATCGCGCGCTTGTCTTTGCACTGATCCCCTTTCTTGCACTTCCCGTCCTTCCACGCATAGCTAACTCCATCACCTCCGGGAGATGGCGCTTGAGGTGTCCACCCCCTCACCCTTGCCCTTTTCGCCCGCTTGTGCTTGTGCATCTGGCTGTGGGAACCCTGGATCTGCCAGTTGACCAGATTGCAGACACAGGGGGGCTGGAGCAAAGGCAGCTTCACGACAACGTTGGGACTTCCGCAAGGTTGATTTCATCACTCTTGCGTCGCATGGCCGGCAAAATACGGCTCGCAAACGTTAATCGCAACGCGCTGCAGTTTCCAGGATGCGACGTCTTTGAGGAAGCCGGCTTCTCTTTGTTGTCACCGGCGCCGCGTTGGTTTGCATATCGTGACAGTGACAGAACGCCAGCTTGCGGAACCTTAGCCTAGATCCCCTACCACCATTCGGTTTTTCCATTGGCTGTTGGATGCGAGATACAATTGTTTGGCCACAAAGGCAGGGACAGGGCCATCGAACTCCGAAAGCCACCTTCCTCTTTTCCATTGATCGTATCCAAAGCGGCGAGAGAGGACAAAGGATGAGCGAATCGAGTGAATGAAAAACGGGAATTGAAAGACCACCCATTCATCCCTCTAACCTACGCCCGCCCTCAGAGTTAATTGGATGTCACCTCCTGCCTGTCCGCTGACCCGTCCAACAAGTAGAGAGGACGGGCACTCTTCCTCCCTCAACATTCCTCAAATTGTAAGATACGCCGTGGAAAACAGGGAGGGACCGCCATCTCTTTCCAGCTCCTTTCTTTCATCCGCCCACATGATGATGACTAATTGAAAAGTTAGACTGTGGCCGCTAACATCTCCTTGTCTCTCTCCCATTCTGCTTGACATGGCATAGCCTGGAGTGGATGGGCAGAGCATGGCATAATCTCCAAACCCATCCCTTTCTCTCTCTCCCTTTGAGATAGAGACAAGAGTGAGAGAAAGAGAAGGGGTCCAACGCAGGTCTTGAAACACAATCACAACGCAGGCGATTGAAGGTAACTTAAGGATTCACCGTCCAAGGCAAATCCTGACTCAATCACCATGTGAGCTGAAAAAAACCGTGTTAAAACTCTTATCCCAGTGTTTTCATCGCAAATCCAAGCGGCGGTCTTCATAAGCATGAGGTCCCCCAATAGCGTGCCCCTGTAAGTGCATGAGGTCGTTGGCGAACGGAAGTAGTAGCAGTAGCAGTAGCAGTAGCAGTAGCAGTAGCAGTAGCAGTAGTAGTAGTAGTAGTAGTAGTAGTAGTAGTAGTAGTAGTAGTAGTAGTACAAGTAGTAGTAGTAGTAGTAGTAGTAGCAGTAGTAGCAGTACTAGCAGTACGAGTAGTAGTAGTAGTAGTAGTAGTAGTAGTACTAGTAGCAGTAGTAGTAGCAGTAGTAGTAGTAGTAGTAGTAGGGGTAGTAGTAGTCGGAGGCATCTGCGGACTTGCGCGGGGCTTGCGCGAAAACTTGTGAATGTTTGGACCATGGTGCTGATGATGATGATGATGATGATGACGGATCATCACTGCGTCACTTGCGCTTCACTTGCGCTTCACTTGCGCTTCACTTGCGCTTTACTTGCGCAGCCCCACGTTTGACTTGCGCAGCCACTCCGGCAACACACTCCTACCCTTCAAAGTCGAAGCGGCGGTGCAGCCGATTTGATACGTCCAAAAACAACTGGGATCACGCTTACATTGACGCATACAAAGGGCTTTGTTTTTTCGGCTCATGTCGAATCTCTGTTCACTCTCTCATCTCGGAGATGGTACCAAAAATGAAAATTCGAGAAGAAGGAGCTATAGGAAATATAGAAGATATAGGAGATATAGGAGATCCTGGCTGTCGGAACCCTTCACCACTCTACAGACATCAGGCCCCCCTCCTCGAGAAACCTCTCCACCTCCTCATAACGGAGTCCAGCTATTGCGGCGCGCAGCGCGTCCAGCACCTGGCAGGGATTCTGGCTTAACAATGCCCGATATTGCCACAAGAAACCAATAGAAACCATCAAAACAATCCCAAATCTGCAAAGCTCGCAAACAACCAAAAACTGATACTCTGTAAACGTTGTTGCGTTCACGTTTTTCATGTCCGGCTTCTCACACCAAAACTGCTCCTTGACATAGGAACCCGCTTCAAGAGAGGGCCAACGATTTTGGAAGCAACCTGCGCAAGGATGACCAATGCACAAAAGACATGCCTGGGATGCCAAAACACGCTCGTGTCTAAAAGATTACGCGACGGCTTTGAATGTTCAACGGCGCCTCCGTGGGGCAAAATCATGCACTCCCAGCAGCTGCATGGAAGCTTCCACGGCGAGCGCCCGTGAATGCAACCCAAAGCAAGCGAGCGCAGCCAAGATCTGTGGCGTCTGAGGAAATGAATGCTGTGAGAAAGCTTCATCTAGCAATAACTTGGTGCGTGTGCCACGTACCCCACATACCTCTGAAACATGTATCCAGAAATAAATAGAGACTGCACCTCAAGTCATCTGCCAAAGCTGAACCACAGCGATGCGCAGCGATGACAGAGTCAACAGGACACCCTTGCCGGTGAGCCTAATCATTTTTTGGCGAATGCTTTGCGCCAAAACGTTGACGGGTCTTAGAATGTAATTGCATTTTCTGGGGTTTGCCACCTAAAAATGTAAGATTACATTTTCTTCTGGGGGCGTGCCAAATGTAAGATCACATTGTGGACGCTGGTGGGCCCATCAACAAGGTACCTCACACATAATCAGCTTACATTTTCTCGAAAATGTATATGACCATTTTCAGGTGCTTGAATGTGCTTGAGTAGCACTTGGGGAGTTTGGACGAAATCTTTTGAAAATGGACATGATTCGAAACACGACTCAAGATTTGTGCCAAGGTGTGACAGAATGACACACAACGTCACAATGCAATCATTCCAATTGGGGTCGTATTGTCGAATATTGTGTTATAATGTTTTCCATTGTTTTCCTGCACGCGTCAGCCAATCCAAGCTCAACCCGCCTGTACTGTCTAACACCCTCACGCGCCATCTAGCAAAGTTGGTTGATACTGCGCACTAGAAAAGGGAAGTGGGGGGATCAATGAATGTAAGCTAAAATTTCCCTCCCCCAACCCCCCTTTCAACATTGACCCACACTGTCAAGCTTTTCAGGGAAATCCGCAAATCCTTGATTGTTTCCAATCTTTTTTTGGGGGGAGGGAGGGGTGAGAAAAAGTAACTTTCGACGTGGTCACATTTTAACCACCCCCCTCCCCCCCAAAAAACGAATACAAGCACCTGGAATTACGTGTTCAGACGTCCCCCTTGGGGACATTATATATTACATGGACAGAGCGAGAAGGGTTCTCTTGCAACTGTCCTATTTTCACTCGTGGCAGTGGTTAAAAGCACAAACCGCAAAACAAACGAGATTGGCCCTGCGTGGGCCACATGGCCTCGTCCTGCGCAGCGCAACGCTGCGTCTTCAAGGACTTGCCCGTGAGCCCCGACAACGCGGACCGCAAGAAACTGAGCATCTTCGAGCGCATCGAGTCGCAGGTGCGGAGCGTTTTCTTGTCCGGCGACAGGCCGAGGAATACCGCGAGCCATATACCCACCCCCAAGCTGTTTCTTCGAGAAAGAACATGTAGGAGCTAAACAAGTACACACTATTAAACTTATGATCATGACTCCCCCGCAAGCCAGTTTGGATGTAACCGTCGAAAACGGTGCATGCGGGAAGTCAGCACTATGTTTTTGAAGCCGTACCAACCCTTAGCAGCCAGTAGTCAGCTTGTAGGACCATCTGGGGCTGGGTTCATCACATCTCGCCGGCGGTGGTCACCATTTCCTCCTCATCCTGCCGCAGGTCAGCACGCAGCAGCCAATAAGAATGTCTTTCACATGGAGGTTTCCAGGACTTCCAAAGCAAATGCATGCAACCACGTCTGTTGCCCCCATCCCCTAATGCACACACATCCCCAGACTTTGGAAATATCGTTCTTACCAAGAGCGTCGGACCGCCCGTTGAAGAAATGGCATCATGAACGGCCCTAAGACAAACGACCCTGTAGATGTCCCTGTGATTGTCCCTGCTTTACCCAAATCATGTTGGCTGGCTAGCCCGCCGAGTCAAATCGTATTTGAGGGGAAACAGTTACACTGAGCAGGAGAACCAATGGTGGCATCTGAACTTGAAACCACCCGTATGACCCAGATCACATATACCTTGTTGTTGCGCAGCTTTAGGTTCTGCGTTCAAGAGACGGAGCTTGCCTCCAGCTCGAGTGGCCGCTGGCATTCCTGCGGGTCCCAAGCCCAAATATATACATCAAACGAGTTTTCCATCGCGCTCGTGCGACGTCGACGACATTGAGGGGACTGACAGTAGAGTTTTTTTGCGGGTAGTGCCCGCAAAATGAAGCAGCATGTCTGGCAACTCCAGCTGGAAATTCGCACCTTTTCAGCAACTGCAGGGCACGAGGAGCACGCTCTGGCAGCACCTCCTCATGGTTCGACCCATATGACCTGACAGTGGCGCGGCGCATGCCAGGCAATCGCTCTCAGATGTGCGACGCGCCACTAGCTTGACTGGCTGCACGGTTTCCACGCTCAAAGCATGCGACGGGCGCTGCGCTCCAGGATCTTAGGACTTTGCCTTCGTATCCTGCGTGGGTCACGGTCCTGAGAAAGTCCTTCGTCGTTTCGTGGGCAGCAGGATCATTGAAGAAGAACGGATCGGCTTTGTTGACACACAGGATACGTGCACTCATCAGTCACTCACCGGGGATGTCCTTGATTTCTCTTCCCAAGACCAACGAGTTCACGGGCGAGATCAAGAAATCTCAGAAGTATCCCATGGACCAATTTCATGAAACCATGTCCACCGAGCTCCATTGCCATTTAGAGCTATTGGAGTTTTCCATGTCCGTATCCGTCCTTAGGCTATGGAGCCGTTGAGGAAGATTCGCGGAAACATAGACTTCCGCTCGTCATGGAAGATGCAACCGCTGGAGACGGAAACAAATCCTTCAACACATCCAGCAAGTTCAGGTATTCCGGCTGGCCCATGGATTGGTCAACGTCACGCAGGAGTCATGGAACGAACTCAAGACGTTGACGAGCTGCGTCAGATTTTGGACAACTGACTGAAGCCAGGGGGCGAATGCCATGGGCAAGGCCGCCAGCGCGTTCACATGGCATGCTTTGACGATGTCATAGTCCATGACGAACCATCAGCATCCGCGCTTCAAAACGTTCCGGGAGGCAGAAATGCGATGAGGATTTCTCCAAGAGCAAATCCACAACAGAGACTAGGAAAGAAGACCAGCCGAACTCGAGCAATCCGATCAGGATGTCAACTTAGCAGTGTCAGTGATCTCTCATGATCGTGGAATTTTATGCTCCACCCCACACCAATGACTTCCGATCACCTTGCTGCGCCCCTTAGGGTAATCCTTTTTCCTTTGGGAATTCTGCTGAGCCCTCCTCTTCTTGAGCTTCGGAGGAAGGCCATCAAAAGTACGTGGCAGTCCGAGTTACGTTCTCCATGAATGAGCGTCTGATTGGCGACGCTTTGCAGAGGGTACTAGTAATCGGCTGCTCCTTCGTGTCTCCGGCATGTTGGATGATGTTCCGGAGGTTTGCTAATGTGTCCATGGTGTGGTCCAATGGTCGGTGGGTTCCATGGTCCTTCCACTCGCTTGTCCTCTCTGTTCTCTTCTGGATGGGCGACCATAGCCTTGTAGCCGTGGTCTTCCTGATGGTTCTCGTCCCACTTCTTGCACTCCTGGTAGATTGGCTCTGCTGCGACGCATGAAACGCAGAACTCCATCTCGCTATCACGCTTATGTTCGCGACCCTCGGGCTGAAGGAGATCCAAGAGGCAAGGCAGGCGCCGCTCTACCTTCTTGACATCGCCTTGCATGGTTTCCACCAACGGACGGGAACACGATGCGGCTCACAAGATCCAGCTCGGTCAACTGGAGCTGATTGCTGTCCATCTGACCGGCCTTCATGTGTGTAGCGAACGGCGGCTGAGAACAATCGGCTCAATCATTCCAGCCTCCAAAGGATCAAATCGTCGATCGGGCTTGCGTGTTCTTCATCAACGCCAAGAGTGCTGCACATGGCTGCGACATCGGCGATTGTGTTCTTCATGTCGGTCATGATCATATGGTCGCGGCGCGCCGCCGGAAGGATGTCCACACCAAATCTTCCTTGGCTGTCATCCATTTTGCAGCACATGCTGTAGATCCGATGGATGTCTCGTGTAGGATGCGGATTGAGAGTTGTAATCCTGCTCGAGGTTTTTCAGTGCTGGTGACAAGACATGAGTGAATTTTGTCTTTAAGAAGCACAGGCTGTCATCAGAACCACGCTTTTGTTCAGGAACGTAGCAAAATTCGCATCAACTTGGTAGACATCAAGGTGGGAAAGGTCTGCAATCATCTGTCTGGCCGGAAGAAAAAACCGTCCTTCTTGGAGCTCTGTCAATTGCTCCTGCTGGTTGGGCGACGACCTTCTCTTGGGCACGCGTCGCAACATGCGGCGAAACCTCTCATCCTCGGGCGTGGCTGCGGGCGCAGACACAAGCTTCTTGAGATTCATGCATGGCCAAGCCCAATGGTCAGCACTGATGGAAAACAAGATGGCGGAAATAGTTTCGTGCAATGAATTCGGGCAGCATGATACACTCATTCCCTCGCGCCCCAATACGCAAACTTGTGTTCCGAATGCTGTATTCTGCAACATGGTGCGGAATTGTGGATGCGCATCAACGTTCAGGAGGTTGCTGGTCAGAACTGGCTTGATCAACTCGTCTGTTTTGGCTGAGTGCTTTGTCAAGGAAAAACCATCACTTTGCACATGTGCTAGGTCATGCGTGTGTCCGCCGTTGCTTTCCCTGCGCAACATCTGGATCAAGCACATTGAGACCTTCTGTCTAGTTGATGGGCTGCCGAAGCGTCGGCTGGAATGTGTACGTCTGCGATTTCCTCTGCGATGTCTGACCAGAGGCCACGAAGAAACAGGGATGAACCATAGCGCCTCCTAAGTCCGTGAAGTTCAGCAACAGTTGTTGACGTTGCGGCTGCTGAAATCTTATGTGTCTCATAGTCGACCAAGAACCCTCTCGAATGGATGAGCCTTTGTGCAGATCGCGTTCTTCAGCCAGAAAGCTCAAAAAACGCTCTCCGAGATAAAGAGTGATGAGCAGCAACAACGCATGAGTCCGTGCAATTCGGCAACAGTTGCGGACGTCGTCGTTGCGGCGCTTGTGGGTCTAGCCCTTGCGAAGATCTTGGTCTTCAGCAAGAAAAATGACATGTCATGTGCTCGTTGGGGTTCAAGGTAGCCAACGATTCTTGATTTTCCGCGAAGAGGCCAGGATCTCATACTGAGCGGAATGCGATCGTTGGTTCTGAGGGTCTTATTGATTGGCGCGAGCGTCCGCAATGGTTGGGGGTGCTGCTCTGGGCGCGCGGCACGAAAACTGGCAACAAACGTGGAATTGAGTCGCGATTGTGACCAAATAATCTGACCTAACACACTTCTGTGTGCGGCGTGCATCTGCGGTGTCAAAGGAGTGTCATTTTTCAGGATGTCTTCTTTCCGGTGATTGGTGAGGATGTGGAAAGCTGTTTGCCAAAAAAGGCACGGGTGCATCGATCTGCTCGCGCAGGCACAAGTCCGTATGATCGAAGTGCCACATCTACAAACTCCATACCTGGCGGAGTTTGTGGGCGAACGGACCGTTGATGACTAACGGTTGAACCGTCTTGTTGAACGGGAGACCTTGCATCGTCACAGGTACACTGCTGCTTGTCATATTGAACTTGTGGAGATCGTCCACCTGGTGAATGGCTCGAAAATGTCCTCCCAGAGGCCCACGATCCTGACAGACCTGGTAAGGAAAGACCTTTGCCAGTTTGGTTCTGCTTCCGAAGGTGCGTGCAATTGCCTTCAAGTGGTTGGTGCTCATGTTTGAGGCAAGCAATGAAGCAAGCTTGTTGGCTTCAGGCTTCTCATCTGGGTTCGGGACCTTTCAACCCACAAGCGCAGAAATAAAGGTCTTCCAGGTCACGGATGGATCTGCGAACAACTGCTGCTGGATGACTGAGGATTTCCCATGATGAAATTCATCCTGCGCTTCAACCGGTCTTGCGCATTTGGTGGTGAGGCGCTTGTGCTTTTCCCAGACCTTTTGTTGGTCTCCCTGCATATTCTGCATACTCGACCATGGTCCGCGCAGCGGTGCCATGAGGGTGACATCGGGCGCTTGCTCTTTCATGATCTTCATGACCATCCTTGAAGGAAGGCAAACAATGAGAATCGAGACATCATTTGTCAAACCCTCCTGCGCACAGTGGCACGCATGTGAAGAAGCCTGCTTACGGGCTGAACACGAACACGCCGTTATGTGTTCGCCTCCGTTTGTTTCAGAGGCCCCTGCAACCATCACGGCGGATCCACCAGATCTACAGGGTGACACCAGCCAACCTGATGATCAGCAGCCACCGGATCAACCAGACCATTCCATGCCTGGCTTCTCATTCCGGATTTTGTCCACAAGCACAGAAATGGAAGTCTGCCCAGGTTGCGGACATCTGCGAACATTTGCTGTGTGCAAAGTAGGTACGTGGAATGGAATTTTGGTCTTCCACAAACATGTTCTCTGCCAGCTTCGTGGCTGCGAGCTTTGGAGAGGTCTTCCCGTCGATGCGCTAGGAGCCAGGCGGATGCCTCTTGCTTCTTGGGATCGGCTGATGAGCCTTCCCTGCTCGTCAGGCAACAAAAGTTCAAGAAGAAATGGACAAGGAAAAGGAAGAAGCAAAAAGGGTGGTCACCAAAGAGGTGGCTTCACACCCTTCAGAAAGAGCATCGCCGACAGCAGAGCCCATGCGGCCCACGAATACGACGATCCATACGTGACCTGTGTAACTTGCTGGATTGCGTGCCAGCTGCCCATAGACCTAGTGCTGCCCATAGACCTGGATTGCATAGGATTGGTTGTGTTGTGGATTGATGATCGGCGCCTTGAGCTTTGTTGCTAGCAGGCTGCGATTGGTTGTCACTCACCGGTTGGGGGGCAGACAGCGCCGGCTTGGGTCAGCTGCTTGATGCTGGAAAGCACCACGACTTGCCATCATTGCCGTGTGGTTTTCTTGCCTCCGGGACATATCCCAATCTTCGTCACTCCAACCTGCACAGGAAGTCTTGGACTTTCGATTTGCCTTTCTTTCCTTTCTTGCCTCTGACACCTTTCTGACAAAGAACGCGTCGCTTTCCCTGAGGACCCAGAATGTCTCCTCATCTTCTGCTGCGATGACCCATCATGTCCATCATCATCTTCAACCCAAGAACAACTTGACCGGAACAAACTTACTTCTGCGATGAAATAAATGGCCGCGTGGCTCAGCATGACAACTTTTAGTCAAAGCAGCGGACGTTCCTTTTCCTCTGTCGGTGCCACGCGTGACCGGGGAAGGTGTAGGAGCAGGTGGCGGGGTTTGGCCAGAAGTCTGTTCTTCTAAAGGAGCCTCAAAAAACCGTGGGGCCGGTTGCGCCTCGAAGACAAGTCAGGAAGTTAAAGAAGGAGGGAAGCTTCACCAAGGCGAGTTGGCCACTGGACTCTTTGGCGCCAAGGACATGGGGGAGTCCACATGAGCAAAGCAACGTCCTATTGAACAGTGCTTCCAAAAAAGTCTTTACTTGCGTAGAAGCAGCAAGAAAGTAAATGACTTGTTGAAAGAAGGTCTTGCTGTGTTTAAAGAAGTTTGCAAACACGTTTGCACGACCTGGGCGCAGAAAGGTTGCGTTCTTTAAGCTACACGCTTTTCACGTTGCAGGGGCCGGGGTCAGCTTGATTAAGTGCTTGCGCCGCATGGCGGACTGAGAGAAGCCTGCCAACGTAGGTTAACTTGAGTTAGACCCTCAATGGGTCCACTTAGCCACCTGGCCTGGCTGGGCTCAGCACTTGCGCCACTTGGCGAGCTAACCTAGGACTTAGCGAAGTTATCACTCAGGTTCTCACCTATGTCCACCAAGCGACGTGCGCTTTCGACCCTTTTTGCGCAAGCGGTGTCCGGCGATGCCAAAGGCAGCCAGACCCGAGGATTTTCTCGCCAAACTGACGGCGCCGTCATCCAAGTTGATCTAGTCCCTATGTTTGGCATCCGGAGACCAGCTAAGAGCTCCTTCATGACTGTGAAAAAGTCTGAACCGCTGCGCCCCGAACCGTGGCCCAGGCGCCGTGCAAAAAGCAGAGCGACTGCCGGGCCAAAGTGCGACTCCCGGAGCTCACGCAGACGCCCTCCGCGGTCACCTCCACCGAAAGAGCCTCGGACCCCTCGAGCATGAGCGCGACTATCTGGGGCACGTAGCCCGCCAGCCGCGCACTATGGCGCGCAGGCCGCGTTTCCAGGCATCCGCAACCCCACGCCAGAACGCGAGGTCAGCAGGTCTCGACGCCGAACTTTGGCAGCAGGGCCTGCGAGCTGGATGGCGGGGGGCCAAGAAAAAGCAAAACTGCCATGGCGATTTTGGCTTGCCTGGAAGATTTCAATCGGAGGATGGGCGGACGGCGGTGACGGGCACCCCTTCCACTGCCTTCCGCTGCTTGATTTGTCTGTGTTTGTTCCGCGGTTTTGCCGTCAACCGCTAGTTCAGGTCCCATCTGAAAGCAGGCCTACCCTGTCACGCGCATTCTGGTTGCATGTTTGTTAGTAAAGCAGCAACCCTGCTCTTCGGAAGTTGGGGGTTGTCCCTTTTGGGGGGAAACCCCTTCGAAGGCAAACTAAAAGCGGGTTCTGCCAATCCGTGAGAGCGACTTGTAGCATGCTTTCGCGCCTCAATCATGGCCTTGGATGCTTCCCAAGGCTGTAGCCGCGTGAAGACCTCAAGCACAAGTCCCAGCACCGCCGCGACGCGTGAAAGGCAACGAGAACTAGTGAGATACACATGCTACGATATATACACATATCCATTTATTTATTTAGTTATTTACTTTTTATGAACATACAAATAAAGCAGATATACGTATCTAAGTAATCAAAACAATACATATATGTATACATACATGGCACCCCCTCAGGACCCCGATCGAAAAAATCAATACGAACAGTTGGATTGGAATCAGCACTTCGAATCAGGTTTTTTGTTCGCCTCTTTCAAGGCTCACTGTAAAGCTCACAACAAGGCGTGCGCCAAACTCCTCATAAAGCTCTTTGCGAAGCTGCTTGCGCAGCTCCTTGCGCAGCTCTTGTTGAGGTTTCTTGATGAACATGCTCCTTGACACAAGGGCTCCATATGAGGTGCTTGCAAAGCTCCTTTTGAAGCTCACTTGTTCAGCTGCTTAAAAGACTTCGCTCCTCAAAACTCAAAAAGCTCTCTTTAAAGCTCCTTAGAAGGCTCCTTGTGCAATTCCTTGTAACGATGCGTGTAAACAGCAAATAGTTCAACTACAATTTCTATTCTAATGATAATTTAACGGGAAACTACTTTCTAGAATCTAAAACAGACATCCTTTCCATGAATAAATCTTAACAAGGGAACAACTCGAGTATGGTGAGCTATGTAAAAAAACAAACGCGAACTCATCTTGTGATCCTTGAATATTTTTCATTAGACGTTTGACAGAACTGAAGGAGGACATAATTTGAATGTCTATGTTGGTTTAGAATTTAAGTAGGAACTCCTTCCCAAAAAGGACTTTGGTAAAGCTAATTGCAAGGTAATTCGAATTTGAATGTTCAGTCCGATTATAAGTTTAAGTAGGAATTCCTGTCCAAATATGTTTTGATCAAAGCGAGTTGCAATTTTAGATAAGCCCCATGTAATTTAGCCTTTTGGCTACAACATATGCTACAATAATAGTTCAGAGGGGGGAGGATACATATGTATAAGTCTTCTCACTGCGTAAGTTTTGGGTTCTGCGAATTGAATGATGGACTGCCGACAAGGGCGTCCATCTAGGCCCCGCGCAAGCTGCAAATCCCAACAGCCACGACTCTAGTGGAACTGTGCAAATGCCGCAGTCTGTGCCTCCTCCCATCGCTGCCGAGAGTTGTTGGCCTTGGCCAAGCCAAGCTTCAAGATGGGGTGCTCCTCCTGCCGACAAGCTCAGGTTTCAGCTAGCCAAAAGACCCAGCGCCTGACTGGATGCTTTGGTTTGCTCACTTGACCTGGTGCTCCCTCTCAAATTACTGCCGCTTTTGAAGCAGTCCTGATCATCGCCGTTATCCATGAAGATCTCCATGGATGCAGACTCCGGGACGCACTCGCCCCCCAATCTGCCCCAGCCTCAAAGTTGAACAAGCATGGGTTTTCCCCGATCAACCCCAGGCAGTCCGGTGCTTTGATCATGTAAGTGCTGCAGAACTGTTGACCTCTGTGTTCAAGCTTGCTTGTCAGCCATCCAATCTACACAGCAACTTTAAGATGGAGTGAGGGCCACAAAGGTAGCAGGCCGAGGAAACTCCATCGCTACCTTCTCGTACAGATTTGATTTGTCATGAAAACCATCTATGCAAGTGAAAGTTGACTCACAATCAGCTCTGTTTTTGTTTAGGCTTATATCATGTGTCCAACAAAGGCAATCACAACTTCCTCGGCAAACCAACGCAAACTCACTCAAGCAGAACAGCTTCTCGATATGTGAGGCAGCGACACATGGCGTACTCACTGTCTGCCACGAAGCTCACTTGCACGGAACGCGCTCCAATCTGCGCAATGCATGGACACAGGCATGGTTCCAAGCTGAAAGCATCCAAGAACAAACCCACAAACCCAGAGGCCCACAAACCCACCAAGCGATCAAGCCACCCACCCGTCCGTCCACCCACCCATCTACCCAGCCAGCCACCCACTTGGTTCTACTGCAGATGCGCCATCCAAACACGGAAGGAGACAGCAATTCAAGATGTGTTTAGATCGAGAAGCACAAAAAATGGTTGTAACACAATCCCAGCTGCTACAATTGCTTTGGAACATCAAGTTCAGGGGCTTTCAGAAGTTAAGAAGCAAGCAAAAGTCGTCCGGCTGCGCGTTGCAGAAGTAGAGGTTCTGACGAAGCAGAAACGATTCGGGGTTCTACACCCTGCTGCCATTGCTTAATGTCGCTGCCCAATTGCGCGGCGCTCTGTGGCGCCACCTGTTTCAAAACCATGCGTGGGCGGCGAGTTGAAGCAAAGCGCGAGGACTTGTGAGGACGGCCGTGGCATGTGATGCCCGCGATATTGGGGACATCTGGTTTTGCAACTTGATGGAATCTCCAGGGCGAGTCATGTTGCTGAGAACGTTTCGGCCCATCACAGCCGAAGCAGGATAGGACCTAGGCTCACAACACAGGCACGCGGCAGAAGCAGCAACTGCATGAACACATGTTCACACTTTCTGAATAATTACCATTTGTCTGTTCATTGCCCGCAAGAGAGCGAAACCTTTGGGAGATGAGTTGGCTTGAAGCAAATGGATCCAACAGGGCCAGCAAGTGCACTCCGTCTCCCCTGCACAAGAGTGACTCGATCAGCGACAATTGCTATTCGTCTTGAAAGAGGGTATTTGTCCATCGTATGAGGGCAAGCGGAGGAGACAAAGACCATCGGTTCCGTGCTCTCTCAAATACCCTGATGGGAACAGGGCACCAAAAAGGTGAAGAGGTCGTGCATGTTCACTCGCTGGCTCTCGCACAACCAGGCGAGCTTGTCCTGCAAGCGTTTGGATGTGGACAAGGTCGAACCAGCATGAATCGGGATGACTCTGGAGCCAACGCAGTAACAACCAAAGAGTCCATACTGGTTGTTGGTCATATCTTCCTTTCAGCAGCTGATGTCACGGCTCAGGCATCTTAGCCCAAAGCGCAAGGCGGCCATGGACGGAGCCAACGCATGCCTGATAATGTTTTCCCAGAGCGCAAGAAGTGAAACGTGTCAGCCTCCAGATATCATAGGATTGGCGCGGCAGTCGGTACTGCCTTTTGCCCTTGGCAAGTCCTCCAGGTGAAAGAGCAAAACCACACCTGATGCCGTGCCCAAAAGCGTTAAAGAGCTGTAAAACCACAAGGGGCACAAAAAACAGGACTCTTCCCAGCAAACCTTGCTGCTCAAGACTTGGCAGCCCAAAAGGCTTTAAAGCGCTGTACAGCTACCAGGGGACCAAGAGGCAAGATTGCTCAGGATTCTCTCTCGAGCTTTTGAGTTGGATTTTGCAGCCTTGAAGCCTGGGGTTACACACACACGTGCAGACAGACACACAGGCAGACAGATAGACTGGCACGCAGACAGACAGGACACACAGAGAGACACACAGACAGACATACATACAGACAGAGACACAGAAACACACAAACAGACACAGACACAGAGAAAGACACACAGAAACACACACAAAGACACACAGAACTGTAGAGTGAAGATTCACTCAGCTGGAAAAGACTTGTCAGACCCACCGCCGGGGAGATGCAATAAGGAAGTCGGCAGCGCGAAACAACACAACGACACAGGACACCCGCGACACGCCCCAAGCTGCCCCCGCAAGGACCGGCGAAAACAAAATGGAGCTTTGGAAGGGGTGGCCTCCGGCTCCACAAAACGCAAGTGAAAGACACGAGTGTCCCAGGCTGCCGCGCAGAAAAAGGAAAAACCACCTCAACCCCAGGCTGCTGCGCTTGGCCCGCGGCATTTGGGACAACGCAAACAGCAAAACTACAACAAAACCCCGGCCCCCAGCTGCAACTGCGGCCGCCGCAAGAAGAAAACAACCCAGCCCGAAGCCGCTGCGCCGGGCAACAAACCCAATCCGACAACAGCCACCGCGGCGAACTCAATGCTTCAACAGAAAGAGACACGCGGCAACAGCAAGATGGTTTCAAAACCAGCCAAGGGGCAGGCGTAAAAAGAAAAGAAACGCACACATAAAAGGAATTCCGAAAGAGAGATCGAACCCCGCGGCAAACAGCCAAAGGGATTCAAACCTGACGGCAGCGCAAGCGAGCGAGGCAAACAACAAAACAAACAGAGGAAATTCCGAAACAGACGCTGGGCCCCGCAGCGACAGCAACAGTTCAAATTGGAAGCCGTGGCATGGTGCAGCAAAGCTGCCTGAACTCGTTTGAGACAGTGGCTTCCATAAACCATGAGCGCGCAGCCAAGCCAAGCTATTTGAGCGTTGGCATCCCGTGCGAGCGCCGGAAGTACCCGCGCCTCCGCGACGCCTTGCAAACAGGCGCACGCAACGCTGTCATTGAAGCCTTGCTGAACGGACTACCTGGATTTTCAACCTCAAGGTCACCCCGCGAGGGGTCGCGCGCGGCGGCTGGTGAGGACAAGATAGCTCAGAGCGTGAAATTGCACGAGCTTTCATATCTTTTTCGCGGAGTTGCAACGGCCTTTCAGTCTCGTGCGCGAGTTGTCACGGCCGCGCGGCCGAGTTTGCGCGGCCTTGCGGGGGCCAACAGGCGCAAGCGGCCGTGGCCATCTTAGCTTGAAAAGCCAAAGGAGCTTGCGACCCGGGCCTACTGGATGAGCCGTGGGACGACACACTGTTGGACAGAGATTCACTCAGCTGTAAGAGATATCACACCCACCGCCTGTGAGATGTGAGAAACATGTCGGCGGCAAAAACCGCAAACAACACAACGCCCGAACGCTACAACCTGGAGTTTCGCACGCCCTGGGTCCTTGAAGGGGCGCCCGAGGAGCCAAGGACTGCCCACCCTTGGCTCCGCAAAACCACAGAGCGGGACACCGACGCAGGGCGGCCCCCGCGCACACACACACACGCACACACGCACGCACGCACACAGAGAGAGAGACACACAGACAGACAAACAAACAGACAAACACACAGACGCACAGACAAACGCACGGAGATATACCACAGAGGCATTCACACACAGACACAAGCAACGACAGACACACGCGCAGAGAAACAGAGACACACAGAGGCGCGCGCGCAGACAAACACACACAGACGCAGGCAGACACAGAGGCACGCACAGACAGACACACAGACACACACACACACACTAGACACACAACACAAACACACACAAACACGCAGGCAGGCAGACAAACAGACAGACAGACAGTCAGACAGACAGACAGACGGAAAGAAAGAAAGCAAGAAAACGAAAGAAAGAAAAAAAGAAAGAAAGAAATAAGCAAAGAAAGAAAGAAAGAAAGAAAGAAAGAAAGAAAGAAAGAAAGAAAACAATAAAATAAAATATGGCAAGAAAGAAAGAATGAATGAAAACAATAAAATAACATGTAAAAAGAAAGAAAGAAAAAGACAGAAAGAAAAAAAACAGACAGGCAGACAAACAGACACACACAGATGGACACACACACACATGCGCTCGCAGACACACAGATAGCCACACAGACAGAAACACAGAGACAAACAGACACAGACACACAGAGACACACACACAGACACACAGACAAAGACAGACCCACACACACAGAGACAAACACACGGAGACACACCGCAGAGACATTCACACAGAGCTCTTCAAACTATTCTAGCCGCAACGATGGTTACAAGGCATATCTCGCAGAACCAACCGTACTAGTAGACGCTAATGCAAGTACGGTCGCACGCAATGGCTTGACCTGCGACATGCTTCCCGCGCGCGGCGCCGAATCGAGCTCAAGCTCTGGCCAGTAAACTCATGGTGCCCGTGATCAAGCAGGCCGAGAATCCAACCCATGTCATTCTTGACCATGGTTGCACGAAGTCTGTGGGCAGTTGGTACGCAGTGGAGAGATTCGTCAGGGCAATAGAACCATATCCGCGCAGGATGAAGTATGAGTGTGTCCTGTGCAGTACCAGGTCACATTTGCCAATGGTCAGACCTCACAGGTCAACTGGACTCTCCGCCTGTTTTTCAGCATTTCACCACCTGTGGTGACTTGCATTGATATCCTAGAACAAGAACAAGTTCCGATTTTGATCAGCATTGATCAAATGCGGATCCTTCACACGACGATTGCGCACACTCCTCAATGCGCATGGCATTCGGTATGATTCGACAACCCATACGGGTATCCAGTAGCGGCCATGCAATGTTTGATCTTGCAGCCTTTTGCAAACAACACGACGCCAGGACGGCAAATAAGGCAGTCGATGACGACAAGATCAATTCCATCGTACATCCATCACTTCTCGCCGCAGCATATCCAACTGAAGCAGCATCAAAGGAACCAATAGTTCCACGGCGGCAGGGACGACCGAGACAATCGGTCACATCAAGGACCACTGGATAATAACTCCATAGAGTTCATGCGTCCAAGAGGAGAGCACTGTTCGCACCTGACACAAGCAAACTTGTCCAATATCGCGAACACAAATCTACAACCAGAGACAAGAGAGTTTGCAGACCTCCTGCGAGCTCGATTTGTTTTACGTGTCAGCCTCACAATGACGATTGTGAGACGGATCTTGAGCCAAACGGCACTGCATGTGTGTGTAACCCTTGTCAATTGCACCTGCGGTCCACACACTATTCACACCCCGCTGTATGCTCCTTCTGGAGCATCAGTGCCGAGGCATTGAAAATTGTGGCAGGAATTTTCATCCCCGAGCCGCGATAGTGCAAACAAACAGCACTCCCGCTCATCCGTATTTTTATACTAATTTGCTTTCTGAATCGCAGTTCTCGAGTCGTGAGACGCTCAAAGACTGCGAATACAGCAGTGCAGGAATTTTCATCCCCGAACCACGATGGTGCAAACAAACAGCACTCCGGCTCATCCGCATTTTTATACTAATTTGCTTTCTGAATCGCAGTTCTCGAGCCGTGAGACGCTGAAAGACTGCGAACACAGCAGTGCACGAATTCTAGCGGTGTTTGGCAATACCAATGGCGGCCCCTGTGTTCCACAGCTAACACATCGGCGCTGCCTGATCCGGTTGTCAGTGTGGAAGAGTGGCGCATCAGCTCTTCGCCCACTCAGCCCCAAAGGACCTGGCCAGTCCACACCAACCTTCGGACTTCAGGGAGAACAACTCCCCAGCAGCGTGCCCTATGTGGAAGTTGAGCATATCAAGGGTCCCCCCACGCCTGGTCTGTGAGAGCATTTGCTTGCAATGGTCCATTTTGCCGCTTGTCCGAAGATTTTCCTGGAGAATGAAATATATGTAAACAAAAAATGGAATACGCAAAGCGTTGCCGGTACTCTCGGGCCGACACACGGCCTCGATTCCCCCACACAGTCGCACCATTTTGTAAAAGGCTGGTAATCCGACAGAAGGCCGTAGGCGATCGAGCGCCTGTGGTCACCAATACGTCGGACGTCGGTACGATCCCGCACATCCCGTCGCCAAGGAGGAGCGTAGTTCTTCGCCTTGGCGTCCTTGCCTTTGCCTTTCCCCCTTGCCTTTGCTTTTGCCCGATGATCCGGAAGAGGGCTCAGCATTTCGGTCAGCCGGGCTAGAGACCTGGGGTTCCCGGATCGTTCGCCCGTCCTTTTCCGTTCCGTTCAACAGGGTCTGATCACCTTGGGGGATTGACTTCGGTTCTCCCGCCTCGCCGCTTGGGGTTCAGCTTCTTCAACCACCCCTTCTTCTTCTTCTGATTCACTCCATAGTTGGGTTGGATTGTCGCTTCCCCGTCAACCAATGGGGTTCTGATCTGGATGGTCATGCGCTGCTCCTTCAACCTGTTATAATTGTTCCACTGATCTTGAAGAACAGGACTGAAAGGCAGCCCATGATAGTTCATCAGAAGAAGATCCTGTGCGGTCGTCTTGTCGCCCATAGCGGCGCACAACCAATTTAATCGACAGGGATAGATTTCCGCCTTTGATTCCATCCGTGCCCGGCTGAAAGAACGAAAGACTTCCCGACACCGAAACATGCGCCGATAACGATGAGGAACACGTCGAACATTTGATCCAGCGAGTTGCTCCTTGATGCTCGTAACTCTGAAGATTTGTAATGGCGGCCTCTTTCAGATCTTTGAGGCTCTTCCAAAGCTTGTCCTTCCCGAACATTTCAAATAGGAACAGGTATAGCTTC